CAGAAGAAGCTGCTGAGGCCAAAAATAAAGAGTATAAATTATTTCGACTAAATCATACTCGAAAAATGTCTCGTACAAAGTGTAATATGGATCTTTTAAATAGACTCTTACTTAGTTCAGATCCCTTAGTAACAGAATTAAGGAAATTGCCGCCAAAAAATAAAAATAGCTTTCCTAAGGCAGTACTAGATTTGTTAGATGAATAGTATATAAAATTTTGTTGTTTGTTGTTATTTAAGTATTAATATTTCCTGTTTAAATTTGATAGTTGAATAACCATATTCATACTAAAATTTAAAAAAATCCATGATGTAATTCGATTTCTCTTATTTTCGATTTTATTGTTGTCATTTTAGTATTTGTTAAAATTGTTATAAATAACCAAAGCATATAATTACAATATACCTAATATAAATAAAATGTATTTTAGTATAGTTTTTTTATTAAACAGTAGAAAGGGACCAATATTAAAAAAATTATCAATTCTAAACTCTATTATCTAATTTCATTCTAACGGGGTAGTAGGACATCTGTTAATTAATTTTATAGTATTTTTTTACAAATTTGTGCATATAATTGAAATAATTGATTTTTGTCACCGCTTAACATATACATGGAACCACTGTGCGCTGTAGTGTGATCCATTCCTATTTCATCCTCAAGTTTCCTTGTGGTGCTGATCTTTCCATCGTTCTCTTCCACGCACAATAAAACTTCCAAGTCGGTATCATTTCGTGCATCTTCTCTTTGTTCCTGCCTTACTTCACATCAGCAGTTATTTATTAAGGTACCTTTGGTCTCAAATCTCTGGATATTCCTTGCGATTGTAGATTTTCCAGGTATCGGTCTATTCGGATACAGATCAACAAACATGTCCGACACCTTTTGATAACTATTTCCTTGATAATACCATATACCATTTAATCATCAATACCACAAAACATCCCCCTTTAGAACCTTTTCTTTAATGGCCACAAGCGGGAGTAAAAGACCAACCGCCCGAACAAACACCAGAGGCGCCACCGGTCATCAAATGGTGTAAAAATTGCGAAAATTTAATCATCGAATTTTGACACAAGGGGTCGCGCTTAACTTTTTCAATTTTAATTCAATATTCATTGTTTTCAAACTATATTATTAGACTTTGTTGTATTTTGTGAATGTATAAATGTTTTATTAGCATAAAGTTGCAATATAATAATTTAAATTATATTACATACATATTTAAAATTCAAATATTATGACATATATGTCAGTTGCCGTCTAAAATGTCATCTTGATAACAAAAAGTTAGTCATTGTCAGAAACAGTTAAAATCGTTAAAATCATGTTAAAATATTAAAATTTACAAGTTATAATTAGATATTTTATATTATTTCAAAAACAAAAACATAATGGTACCGCGTAATGTTGATATTGTCTAAAACAAAAAGTGCCATTTTATTTTTCAGTTTTCGTTGTCAGCCGCGGAAGTTTCAGTGATTTTAGTGTTGTCGGATATTTTTATTTGTGAAATAGAAATATTGCGTTTGGATTGCAAAAAAAGTGGAAGTTTTATTGCAATGTAAGTAAGCGTTTGTCCATTTTATATTTTACTTTTTTCATACCTACGACAAATATACTTAATATAATATATAATATATTGAAATTTTATAATTCGTTTTATTTAAAAAATGTTAGAAAACAAGCTTGTAATCTTGTAATTGACATAATTGTTATGTAATATATTCTATTTAAATGTAATATATTACTTTACAATTAAAAAAATGTAAATTTAAAAAATATATTAAAAATATATACAGGCATTAAATGAAATTTTTTGAGTGCGAACAAACACGAGAGGCGCTTTATTATTTACTTTTTTTTTTTCATTTCTTAACATGATAGACGAAGTTCTAAAGGGGGATGTTTTGTGATCAATACTTTTTGATGATTGATGAAAAGATAACTGTCATAACTTCATTTGACAGTTATCTTCTTCCTTGACTGGTGCTCATAAGTAAATACAGGGCCATAAGAAAGAAACAATATTTAAAAAGAAATCGGCGATAACTCGTAAACGGGCTAATAAAAAATATCTAAAGGTATTCTTTTGAATATGGGTTTTAGTGCTCTTCAATAAACCTAAACAGAATTATTCTCTAAAATAATTAGGGAAGCCAATAATTGACCCTTAAAATTTACATGGGATTTCCTATGTCCCGCTCGACGATGCAACACCCGGTATAACCTAATGACAACTATGCATTACAAAATAATCCTTGAAAAAAGTAATTCATTCTAACTAAATGAGTTTAAAGAGCTTTTAAAGATATTTAGTCCAAGAAAATAGGCCTTCAGATACGGTCAGTTTTGGTAAAAACTTGAATTTTTGATATAAGTTACTTTGAAAGATCAAAAAACGAATTGTGAAACATTTTATTTAAATTCACCCCTGAGAAGGGGCGAAATATAAAAATAAAATTATTTGTTGAAATTTCGGAGAAACGGTAAGGACTAGATAAAAAAGCTCAAACAAAAATTGTAGAGCGTCAAATTTTACGAAAAAATGATCTCTATACTTTTTTTTCACAAATCAAAATTAACCGAAATAGAGTGGCTAGAAGCTAGGGGACAGCTTTTATTGAAAAAAAAATATTTTTCACCCCTTCTCGGGGTGAATTTAAAAAAAATCTTAATTGAAATTTATAATTTTCCAAACAAATGGAAAAAAAAAATGTTAAATATATGAATTTTTGAACAACTTATACAGGGTGTCCGGAAATTAATGCAACAAAATTTGGTCATAGATACTTGAAAAAAAATAGGTGACCCTTTTTTTTATTTTTGGCCAGTGGCCCCCCTTTTCGGATTTACGGCCCCCTGAATTTCGCCCCTAAAAAGAGAGTTTTTTTTTTATATCTCATGGCCCTGTTGGACGAAAGTCACTAAATTTGGTACACGTTGTTTTACCATAAAATTACATTTTTTCATGCTATTAACTTTTTTTTATTTTCATCAGTGGCGTCCCTACGGTATTTAAACTAAATATTATTAAAGAAAAAAATGGTACGCGACTGGTTTTTTTTTAATAAAAATTATTTTTAAATCTACATTAAATTTAGAACAAATTTGATCTCTTGACTGTTTTTCGTACGACGCACCGTTTTCGCGTAAAAAAATAAAAACCATTTCCATACATATGACCAAATCGCTAAAATTTTAATGTAAATTTTCATAGCAAAATTTAAAAAACGGCAATTTAGGTTTTTGGACATTTTGGTTCGCACTTAGGTAATAAAAACAAGATTTTGGAAAATAAAAAATTATTTTAAACTTAAGTTTGCCGTTTTAAAAATTTTGCCATTGAAATGTATAGTAAAATTTTAGCGATTTAGTCATGTTTGAAAATGTTTTTTTTACGCGAAAACGGTGCGTCGTACCAAAAAAAAAGTCAAGAGATCAAATTTGTTCCAAATTTAATGTAGATTTTAAAAATAATGTTTATTTAAAAAAAACAGTAGCGTACCATTTTTTTCTTCAATAATATTTAGTTTAAATACTGTAGGGACGCTACTGATGAAAATAAAAAGAAGTTAATAGCATCACAAAATGTCACTTTATGGCAAAACAACGTGTATTACAGTTGAGGGCTGGAACCTTTGGTATTACACAGCAAAATAAAAACACTAAATCACCACAATACACATGATTATCTTTAGATGATTATCTGCTGATTATGCTAACATGGTTAGCGAAACGCGCGTCCAGTGTAATAGTAAGTAAGTGTTTTGGTGTATTGTGGTGATTTAGTGTTTTTATTTTGCCAAACAACGTGTACCGAATTTAGTGATTTTCGTCCAACAGGGCCCTGAGATATTACAAAAAAACTCTGTTTAGTGGCAAAATTCAGGGGGCTGTAAATCGAAAAAGGGGGGCCACTGGCCAAAAATAAGAATCAAATTTTAATCAAAAAAAAGGTCAAATTTTGTTGTATTAATTTCCGGACACCCTGTATATTTTTTTTAAAATTTGTATTATCATCCCGTAGCTTCTATCCACCCTATCTCGGTTAATTTTGATCTGAGCAAAAAAAGTATAGAGATCATTTATATGTAAAATTTGACGCTCCACAACTTTTATTCGAACTTTTTTTTCTAGAGTTCTTATCGTTTCTCCGAAATTTCAAGAAAGTAATTTTATTTATTTATTTCACCCCTTCTCTGGGGTGAATTAAAAAAAATCTTTCACAATTCGTTTTTAGATCTTTCAAAGTAATTTATATCAAAAATTCAAGTTTTTACTAAAACTTCGGATTTAAAGGATTTAAAAGAAATTTTCTTGGACTATATTGTAATGTTCACTATTTGGTGGATGCGCCAGGAAAATAATAATATCCTAACTTCCAAGGAAAGGTAAAACCAAAGCAGCGTTTTATTAAAAAAAAACTAAATAAAATTCAATCATATTGTACCGTATAGTCGAAAAAAACAGCGTCCAGTTGTCTTGAAAATAACAATCGATGACATTTTTGCATCACCGACCTGGACATAATAAATTTTAAAAATACTAAGTTTCCCCCATTTTATTTTACAAGAAAAAAAACTATTTGAATTTTTTTAAGAAACTCCTTAAAATGAAGTTGCAATAAATCTCTGTAGGAGAAAATCATAATAGATTTGTTATATTGCGACATAACTTGTGATTGTTATGTTTGTTTGCTTAGGTCCGCATTATTTTGAATTTTCGCGCCCAATTTAGTATTTTTGTATCTCTCATAACTCAAGAACGAATTCGTATAAATCATTCAAGACGAACAATAATTTTTTCTGTAAAATAAAATGGGGAAAACTTATTCAATGCAACAGACTGTATACTTTCTCATTTTTTTCATCTCAGTTACGGTTTTGGAAAATGTTTCGATTAAATATGACAAAAATTTAAAAAAAATAAAATCAAATTTAATTTTTCACTACTCATTCAAAGCTCTAAAAAAATAATAAATCATACTTGTTACTCACTTGGTGATCCTTTCCCTGTGCCAAACCTCAACGTGTACCCTTTTGGAACAATCGTTGGGATGCGTTACAGGGAACCTGAAGGTGTGATTGAAGGTGGGCTTCGAAGACTCGCTTTGGACTGGTGTCCTTTGCAAGAGACCGTTCTTTTTTCTTCTGGTACCTGAGACACCGTCGGAGATTGCAACCTGGTAATAAAGAAAATGCATGCAGTGCAGAATACTAGATAATGACGTAAAGACTGTTCAGCCATCGTGCACCGTTACGTCATCATTATTTGTCAAATATGAGTTTTAGGGTGCGTCTGAGATCAGTTCATATTGTTTAGAAAATTTTAAGTACGTTTCTATATTATTGATTGAGCGAGTTTTTTTTTTGGCATTTAATTAATTAATTCCAATTCTTTGGAATTGAATTCCAATCGTTTGGACTGTTGAAATTCCTGTTTCTAAAGAATCAGCAACTCGCTATATTATTTAAAAATCTTATAAATTTATATTTTACATAGGAGTATTACACCTTTGTATTGTACTTACTTCATATACGACGTCCACGGGCAAGAGTGTTCTACCAGCTCCTCTTCTTCGAAAAAAATAATTTATGACAATGACAATTACTAAAAAGAATATGCAGTAATTTACAAAATGCCGTAATGACGTTGTCAATCTCTTTCAGCTGGTTGGCAAGTGATTGAGAATTGAGACAGTTCGACAATATATGACGTGACGTTGAACGATGAACGTTGAACATTCTATAGATACAGGATGAACTGTGACCCGAAAAACCTTTTTATAAAATATACAGACAATAATAGCACTTCTTTTATAAGTACACAGTGTTTTGTTCATTAGGAAATAAAATAAATAGAAAAACCTTATAAAAGTTTTTAAAGCATTGTGGCGATAGCCGAATACTTTTTAGCTTTTGAGTTCGGTATGTAAAAAAGAGGACTTTTTTAATACATGAGAGAAAAGAGGACAGTAAAACCAAAAAGAGGACGCGCACTTGTCAATTTTTTTCAGAAAATATGATTCGTCATTGGTAAAAAACCGAATAGAAATATAATAACGCACTTGTCCATCAGATGTCATTTTTAGTCGGCGTACCGGTATCGTTTTTCCTGCTGCTACTTTGAGCGTGCAAGCAACTGAATAGTTGGCGTTGTTCATTGACATTCCTCCGCACATGTCCGCTCCTGTCCGCCGGTTCGGCTTAATTCGACGTGACATCGTATCTTTTCATGTCATCGGTACGACAACGCTGGAAATGTGGATGTGCCCCGTTTCGTATTCGCTGCCAACAACATTTCTAAGGATTTTCGCTGTTTTGAAGGGGGCGGACGGAGTAGGCGTGGACCGACTTTGATCACGTCAAACTCACCGATTTGTAAGTATATGTTTTTTAAAGTTTGTTAGTAAAAAAACATCCACGTTCTATTTTTGATCTTTTTGAACAGATTACGAGAAAAACAAATAAAGTTACGTCCAGACCTGACGAGACGAGAGCGAGGCAAGAGAAAGACGAGAGCGAGACATAAAATTCTATTCTATCCATTTTTTGAGGCAAACCCGCCACGAGACAAGCGAGTTGGATCGTAGTAAAAGGAACCCAAACACATATTAAATTGTAACTGAATATAACAAAAACGATGGCCAAATAATAACGCATACAGTAATAAATTTTTGTATCTTTAACATGGTATTTCGTTCGTCGTATTTTATTCATCGTCAGTTTTTTCCCTTTTGGTTGTTTTACCCTTTCCTTCATTTCTTTCGAGAGACGTCTTTTAAAAAATACGTTTTTTAACGTTTTTCAGAACAAAATTAAATTGAAAAGTTAAAGGGATGGTTAAGAAGCACATTTTAAAATTACTGTAGGGTATACAGGATACTTCAAAAAAATGTTGCGGATATAACATATATTTTTTAATGGGAATACCCTATTTTTATTTTATTATTAGATTCTACGTACTAAATACTTGTAATAATTCAATTTGTTTAAAGAAATGTTATATTTCGGTACGGTAAAAATTATCAGTGACGCAAAATTTGTAAATCATATGAGAAAAAATGATAATACATACGATGTACCATTAAAGAAATTGAGATTATTTAATTTTAAATAGTAGAAATTCATAAACCAGAGAATATCTCGCAGTCGAGCGAGCCAACCAAAAACACGTCCAGACTGTGCCGCGAGTTTTCTTTGATCGGTTATCTCGCAAGACACGTCCACACTTCCGAATTTGGAATGTCTCGCGCTCGTCTCGCTCTCGTCTCGTCAGTCTGGACGCACCTTTTTAAGTAAGCAACTGTGGTGTTGTCAAAAGTCCAATTGTATGTTTAAAACCAAATATTAGTATATATGATATTTTTGTTATTTCTGAGACGTGTTATTATGTTTTACAGAAACAAATAATTTTTATGTCAATAGATAAAAATCTTATAAATAAAAAAAGTGTGGCAAAAAGATCCTTATTATTTATAGAGATACTCTAATCATTGTATGTATAATAATCGTATACGATCTTCGTTAATAAACATTTTTTTTCATCTTTAATAAACATAAATAAGTAGCTACCTAGATTTTTTTTTTGCATCCAGCCTGTATATCTTGGATTCCTTCGTTTTGTAAAAGCTTGTCTATTAATATTGTATCTCTAAATTTATACCTAAATACGTTATCATAATAAGTTTTTATCAAGTTTCTGATTGTATTAATATCCTTGTTTATAATATTATGCAATAAATTATAAATTGTTATGAATCATTTTATAACTTTCTAAAAAAAATATTTATAAAAATTCTATTACAAAAAACTTTTGTATATTATTTTTAAATCTATAAATCTCATCCTTAAAAAAACAAAATTTACTCACCTTAATATAAGCATTAATGGATTCCCTTTCTGGTTTGTATAAATCTGAGCACCTTATTACTGAAATAACGTAAAAAAGTGTTAATAATATTCTTTAAACGTCATGTTTCTTTTAAGAGGTTTCTTTCAAATTGAAGCCTCTAAAGCTTTATTCATTACCTCAAAATTAGTGGAATAAATTAGTGGTCACAATTATAATTAAACTTATAAGCTTACGATCATTCACAATGTCTAAAAAATACAATTCTAATTAATAGTATATCCTAGCAACAGCATTTCTAACCACAATATCTCCTTGACGGATGATAATTAAAGGCCAAAATTACATACCCGCTAATTTTGAAGTAGGTATAATAATTAGCGATAAAAGTTAAAAGTTCTTCTGCTTTGAAATTCTAACATTGAAATTAGAGAAACAAACTTCTACGCTCATTGAAACCACTAATTTATTCCCGAGTTTATTCCACTAATTTCCAAATTCTGAATGAAGCTTAACAGAAATTATTAATTTAATAAGAAAAATTACAGAGTTTTAATTTTAAAATTACAATTTTTAAAGTAATGAGTTTGACTTAGCGAACTAAAAATTTAAATGTGATCTGTCCAACGCAACGGCTGGATCAATGACAGTGACGGTGGTGTCTATAATTTTAATTTACAAACAAGTTTCTGTCATTTTAAGATGATTTCTGTCGAAATCTTCCTTATGTCGTTGGACAGACTAACTGCGTCTTTATACACTTACCATTAACGTAAAGAACGCTATCCGAGACGAATATCCTCAAGTCCAGACTACCCCTAACATCCACCACGCTATGCTTAAAAGTACTATCAGCAAAACTAGACGAATTACTAGTATCCGAATCGAACACTAAACACTTTTTAATAGTCCTGTTTTCTTCCGTAGGCGTCTCAACAAACGGAGTCCTCAGAATCTCTTTATTTTCCAAGTAACATCCTCTAAGAGGCGTATTCTCAAACGGACCACAAGCATAATTAAATGAATCTTCTTCTTGAGGTGACAAATATCGTTTTTGCGTAGACCAAAACGGAGATATAGTCTCAGACTCGATAGAGCTGTTCATTTTGAGCATTCTTTTTCGGAAATGATCAACTTTTTTTCTTCGTATACCTTTCTGTCTTTTTAACGTATGTTCGTTGTCAATTCGAGCTTTCTTTGACAGATCGTCGATATCTCCTGAAACAGATAGTCTTTTTCTAGAGCTTTCTTCATCCACGCATCTTTCATTAAAGGTTTCGTTTATTTGAATAATAGTCTTTTCTAAGGGTACATTATTGTTATTATTGTTACACTTGCACTGAAAATTATTATCTAACTGATGAGAATTATCGTTAGTGCTGCTTTTAAAACCTGAATCCGACGAGGCTTCAGAATGTAACTCTATATTATGTCTCTCTTGATGAGTATTAATAATATTCTCCTCTCTAGTTTCATTAAGGTTATTTTCCTTTTCTAAATCATTACCCACGTTAACTATTACGCTAGTATTAAGAGATACATTTTCTTCTTTGCTAGTAGTATCCAAAAGAGCTTCAACTAACTTATCTAAAGACATATCGTTGATAAAAGAAGAATTGTTAACTTCGTTTTCTATACTGACTCTACTGAAGCCAAGATCAAGAAATTTTCTCACTAGAGGAGTCACTGTGAACGTATTTTCCTTTTCTAGTTTCGGTTTTTTGTTAGGAGGAGGATCCTCGGTTTTATTTGTTGTAGTTTTCTTACAACTACACAGTTCCTCAGCTAAAATAGACTCAATATGCGAATCTACAGCTTCGAAAGGTTTAAAATAGTTACTGGTATCACTGGTTCGGGGTTTGACATGATTATCCAGACACTGCTTTTTCTTTTTAAGAATTTTTGGACTCTTTTTCTCCGATTTTACTGTAACAGATCGCTTGCAAGTCGAGTCGTTTGGGGTTAAATTGCTGACATCTCTAAACGGACTGTTTTCGAAAGCTAGGATATTTTCACCGGAGGTGTTTTTGATGGGTGTGGAGTGAAAAGGGTTTTCTTTTTCGTCATCCAGAGCGTCCATACTACATCTTTTGTGGCCGGTTGATCTTCTGGAAGTGCTGGAACGTCTTCGTTTGGTTTTCTGTCTGGGAGTTTGTGGGAGTGTTTCGGTGGATGGTATTTTGGTGGGAATCGGCTCGATGTTGTTGTAAGGTTCTTTGCGAGGGAGGACGGTCCACTTCAGCATTGTGTCAAATCTGCAAAAAAAAACACCAAATTAGTGAAAAATTCCAGATTTAATTTAAAACTAATTTATAAGCTGCATTAATCTAACTTTTAGCAATTTTAAAACAATTTTAGGTATTCGAATACTGTCATGGAAGACACCAGATCCTCTTCTAGAGTTTCAGAATATTGATTGAACTGGAATTTAAAATTTCCCGCTGAGGATTCAGGTGGTAGCTCTGCTGTAAAAAATGTCAAGTTGCCACATTTATTTATTTATTTCCTGACAATGACACTCGTTTTGACACTTTAATTTTGTATTACGAGTTTGTGATTTAAATGAATTGTGTTGTGATACTTTAAGCTTACATTTTTTTACTAGCAGACCTTGCAGTCGTACATTGTTCTTTTCAGAACCTCTTTTAGAGCAAAGTGTACAAGACAGCTTAATAAGCGCTACAAAAACCTCATCGCAACCTTATTAGAATATTTTGAACGGAAAAGCGGTAGTAATGGCCCTTTATATCCCTTAAGTGCTGTTAAGGAGGTGAGTTTTGTTAATGTAAATAATAACTGTTCATATATTTATAATTAATTTATTTTTGTTTCCTAAAATATTTTGATTAAAAGAAAATATGTAAAAGTGGGCAACGCTGTACCGGAGAAGCTTAACGCGTAACTAAAAGTTTAATTGATTTGAACGAGGAATTTTTGATACAGGGTGTCCCACTTAAGATGGATACAAGCCAATATCTTGATTGTTTGTTGAGCGATCTTTTTCATTTTTGGCAAGAGGCTGTATGGCTATAAGACGTACATTTTGCCCAGGGTAAAAAATGCGATACCTCACAGACGTACGTTTTAATGTGGTTTGATAATTTTCGAGTCCAGAGTAAACTACCCTTAGGACAGTATTTATTTCAAATCTGATAAATTATATTGAATCCTCCTTACCTAAGATACTTAAGTTCTAATTTTGATAAATATTGATACAGGGTGTGTCATTAAAATAAGACATTTTTATTTTTATTGTTATTTTTTTAAGTACTTACGACGCCACTGGATAAACAACTGGTTTATTATCAATAACCAATTATTACCAATTATCAATTAATAATCTTTTTTTTATGGTGGTTTGGTCGAAGATGTTGACTTTTAGTTCGTTATAGTTTTATAAATCTTTGTTTAGAGCATATTTTTCAAAGTTAATAGTGATTGTTTTAAATATTTAACTATTTGGATTTTTTAAAATATTCCTTAATAAAACGAATAAAAGTCATATTTCAGGTTCCATTGAAAACTGGGTTTTTAAATTATTTTGTAACTCATTTTATTCATTTGTATTAGCAAACTTAAAAAAAACAATTTTTTAAAGTAAACAAAATAAATTGAAAATATTTAGTTTTTTTGTATCGTATCTTAATTATTATGGAAGCTATCTGAAAACTTAAATCGATTATTAATTGATAATTGGTTATTGATAATAAACCTGTTGTTTATCCAGTGGCGTCGTAAGTACTTAAAAAAATAATAAGAAAAATAAAAATGTCTTATTTTAATGACGCACCCTGTATCAATATTTATCAAAATTAGAACTTAAGTATCTTAGGTAAGGAGGATTCAATAAAATTTATCAGATTTGAAATAAATACTGTCCTAAGGGTAGTTTACTCTTGACTCGAAAAATATCAAACCCCATTAAAACGTACGTCTATGAGATATCGCCTTTCTTACCTTGGGCAAAATGTACGTCTTATAACCATACAGCCTCCTGCCAAAAATGAAAAAGATCGCTCAACAAACAACCAAGATATATTGGCTTGTATCCATCTTAAGTGGGACACCCTGTATGATCTTCGTTAATATTTTTTTTAATAAGTGGCAACCCTGCCTTTTTCTGTTTACATTTGGTTTGTCTATCTTGGATACCTTCGTTTTCTATAGTAAATTTTGTCTGTTTGTATTAATTATAAGTATATGGTTCGTACTGAAATTAGACACGATCCATAAAGATATTCAAATTAGTAGGTAATTAAAAGAGACAAAAAGATAAAAAAGTAATTAAAATTCATAAAAAGTACTGGTAAAGCTGTGGGGGCTTTTTGCGCACCCCAAAAAATGATAAAGCCCCGTCATTTGTATTCAGTACCGATATCATATCGGTTCAATTTATCAGGAACCTTACCCCATTGCTCACTTGGCGTGACACTAGCGGAAAGCTGTCCCCTCTGGTCAACAGTTTCAGAGTTCAACGGTGTCGTGGTCACCAGAAATTTGTCGAATTAAACTGAATTTAATTGACCTCAAAATACTTGTTTTTATTAAGCGGGTGTCAGATTTTGGAAGAAAAATTTAAAGGAAAAGAAATCCGGAAAAAATAGAAAATAAAAAATTATCAAAAAGGAAATTTAACTTAGTATAACGTAAATAATATGAATGTACGATTTTAAAGCTGTATTTTTACATTCATTTATGCGAATTTGTTGTTCAGTGTTTATTGGTTTAATCATCATTCACCATTTTTTATTGACAAAACCATTAAACGAAATACAAACTCCAAATCATAGACAGAATACACACAATGATAACAATACACAATACCGGGTGCGTCTCAAAAGTCGCTCACCCCTATAACTTATTTATTTATTCAGATAAAAAAAAACGAGGTTTGGTATGTTAGTATATGACATAAATTAGGATTGATTGACATATTCATTTGTTTTCTGTCACTTCCTGTTTCGCCGGAAATGACTACAACTTTTGATTTTTAAATGGCGCCCCCGTTATTTTTTACTTCATTCGATAGAAAATGACATTCTGAATAGAATGGCATATCATATGTCAACTTTTGACATTTTTGTATAAAACAAAATTTAATTTTAAATTTCGAGCCCAAAGGTATCGTCGAGTCTCGTCTGGGAATGCCTAGGTGAACTGGAAGCTCTGGCTCGACGGAACAGAATTAAATTATTCTGGGTGCCGGGCCACAGCGGCATCCAAGGCAACGAAAAAGCCGATGAGCTAGCTAGGCAAGGATCATCGGCATCTTATCTTGGTCCAGAGCCAGTACTGGGAATACCCAAATGTATGGCCCGTAGTGCATTAAAACTCTGGATCAGGGAAAAGCAGAATGTCCACTGGAGAAACAGACAGGGGCACAGGCACAGCAGCCTTGGATAAAAGCCTTTTTATCCAAGGACCTAGCTCCAAAACCGCAAAAGAACTGCTAATGCTTAGCAGGAATAAATTGCGGATTACAACAGGCCTCTTGACAGGACATATGGCTGTCAAGTGTTACCTGAACCAGCTCAATCTGTATCAAGGAAGTCTTTGCTGCAGACTCTGCGATAAAGATCCTGAAACAGCGGAGCACATAATATGTCACTGCGAGACTCTGGATCGCAAGCGACACTTTTTATTTGGGAAAGCTAGGCTAGAACCGGAGGAACTATGCTCCCATCCTATCAAGGACCTGCATAAGTTAGTGCAGGGCACAGGGATAGGAGAATGGGTGCAGATATAGAAAGGGGACAAACACAATAGACCTCACAGGTCGCAGTGTTTCCGGCAGAGGACGGCCCCTTATTGTGGAAAAAAAAAATTTAAATTTCAATCGAGAGTGCCATGGCTGTGTTAAAAACACTATTTTATAATCAAGGAGCCTTGGAAAAATAGATTTGATCGTCTAATGTTAGTCGTGTCTTGTCCTGGCTGGTTAAAAGATGCCCAAATCGTATTTTTAATCACATCTCAATTTTGGAACGAGGGTGGCTCAAATGGAACGAGGGTGGCTGATTAGCATGTTTGGAAAAAGCATTTTTTTACGAATAATTTGATACCATACACTTGGTATTTCGAGTCAAATTATCGTTATGAACCGCATGTTATAATTTCAAATAAACCATATGCGAAAATGTCAAAGTTGACATATGATATGTCATTGTATTCAGAGTATCATTTTCTATCGAATAAAGCAACAAAAAACCGAGGGTGCCATTTAAAAATTAAAAGTTGTAGTCATTTCCGGCGAAACAGGAAGTGACAGAAAACTATTGAATACGTCAATCAATTCTAATTTATGGCATATATTAACATACCAAATCTCAATTTTTTATCTGAGAAAATAAAAAAGTTATGGGGGTGTGACCCTTTCGAGACGCACCCGGTTTATACAACTTACAATTCCATACATACGAGGCGTTTCGGAAAAAAATAAGAAGGATAGGAAAACAATATAACATACGATCATCTTCCAAACACAAAATACACTTAGATCCATTTTAACAGGATTTTAACACACACTAAACCAATGAACGCTGGACAACAAAATGTAATATACAAAATACCATGTGAATGTGATAAAATTTTATATTGGTGAAACATCTAGACCTCTAAATATTCGAACTAGAATCAGAAAAGGCGACTTTCACAAATCTAAGATTTGTTAGCATTCATGGGACACAGGGTACAGAATAGATTTTAGATATAATGTCATTTTAACAGAACGTCAACGATTTTTGTAGACGTATCTGTTTTAAAAAAACTAAAATGTTCTGTTATTAACTAAAGTTTTGTTTAAAAATTAAAAAAGAACATGTTTTTTTTCAACCCTGGAAGAAACCCTATATTATTCCTTCATACTAATTCCTTCCTTCGTTTGCTTGCTTTTCACCTTTACCTCTAGAGTACATGCAATTACAGCATTTCAAACGGCATAATTATAGTCGTACCCTGTTTGCCTCAGACCATACAATACCGCCCCATTCGCATTCTTTGAAACTACTTCAAAATTAAATTGCAAATAAGGTTTTAAGTTAAGAAGAATCAACAAAGCTACGTTAATTACTCATTATTTGTATTCAATAAGGAACTTATAATGATTTGTGGGGTCGGAAATATGTTTTATTGATGTATTTTGTGGCGGAAAATATTGGCACGTTGCCAAGTGGGTCCTTTGCAGATGGGATGAATATGAAATAGCTAATAAAAGTGTAATTATAGTGGTAGAAGGGTTTAATAATTTTGTATGAAT